GGAGCATACTTGACAGTGAGTTATTGCATAATTCATGAGGAATTGTTTTGCAAAAGTTTTTATCGGCCAAGTTGACATTTTCACATTATTGACATTCATAAAAGGATCATAGAACTTCCTTGCTCATATTAACTTATCGATTTGACTTTGCACGTATAACTTATTTTTTTAATTTGCGTCATTTAAGATTTAATCATTCCAACGAAATATATATATATATATATATATATATATTAATTGGGATATAATACGTAATAAAATTATATATTATTATATAACAAATTGATATTGACTTTAGTTAGTAATGAATGTATCAATATACGTACGTAATTATTTTGCTTTTTTATACTCAATTAACGATATTGTACAGATTTCCCCAATTAAAACTTAATTAGACTGGTTTACCGTTACATTAAGTTGTTATTACAGGAAACTAATAACATGTCGGAAGGATAATTATCAATTTAATAATCAGAGTTCCAACTACGTGTGTGGCTTACTTTGTACACTACTTTATAATTGAACCTTGATTGTTTATGGAAAACTACATTGGAGTGTACATTACAATAGAATTATACTAGACAAAGTGCTGTCGCGTCATCGATTTTAAAACAAAGATCTACAATAATAAATTCCGATATATATAGTTCAGTTACAATAATAATCTGTGCTTGCAACAATAGTGTGTTACAACAAATGCGATAATACGTGTAATGGTGATAACTTATAATAGAATGAAACTTATAATAGAACAACGATACAGCTGCGAATGCCGGAGTTCGAATTATTGTAAAGTGGAAACTTCCAGTTCGCTTGTATTATTATCTTACAGAGTTTGCCTGTAATAACAAACCGGGATTGATTCAATTAGGGGCGGTGATTAAAATTGCATTTTCACATGAAGATTATCAATAATGCACGTGCAATGATCGAGGTGCGTGAAACAAGTATAGGATATATTAATATTACCGACGTCATGAATATTGTATGTGTGTGTGTGTGTGTGTGTGTGTGCGTGTGTGTGAATAGGAATTTGTGCGTGCGAATTAAATAAATTCAATGCACCAGGGGGAAATATTATGAGAACAAATATTGGACGGGGTTGAAGCGTTTGCCGAGAAAGCGGCAACAAAACAGGGCATTAAATCACGCGCGCGCAAACACATGACAATGTAGAAGGCGAAAATGACCAAGATGGAGTTCCGCACTCAATCCCGAGCTCCATTCCGAATTGTGTGCTCTCATACTGCTCGGAATTCGGTTAGCGATAATGTAATTTGCCCCACGAAGAGGAAGATGCAGCGAAACAGCGTGAGTGCGGACGTATTGCATTATCGATATGTTAGAAATAAATCCGAGCCAACCAACCTCCAGCGTGGCGCACCGCGAATGTTCCGATATTGCAATTAATATTAATTAATTACACGCGCGCGGTTCGGGCGTAATCGGGCGAAAGCACGGTGTGTATGATGGTAAAGTCAAGTTTGCTCGCAAATATCCAATAAATATTCATCAAGGCTGGAGATTATTTTGTTCTTTAAGAGTCTTTAGTTTGAGCTGCGAGATTGGGAGGAATTAATAACCGTGCTGCAAGTAATAAAGTTAAAACAATAGCGTTCGTTGCAAAATAATTACGCTTTTCCGCGTTGGAAAATTGCGTAAACAATGTAGCCGAATTCACAATGCAATTTAGCGCGTTTCAAGGCGCACCGCGTAACTACGTCAGCATGTCGAGTCGCAATTGATCCAAGTGACCAGAGAGATCAGTTCCAAGTTCCAACTCGATATTCCGCCTCGAAGAAGTAACGCCCGGCGACAGGACCGAGTGACACGATACACGCGATAGGAGGAAGTTAGCGACACGACAGCGAAGGACCACTTCCGACATGACCGTCGCCTCGATTTTCGACGTCGAAATTCCGTATCGCGTTCGAGAAGAAGTTTTGATTGCTAATATCTACGTAGTCTGATATTTCGTTTTGCTCGTACAGGCGCGTCCTTATATATAGGAAAACTTAATTTTCCCAATTTGATAGGAAATTGAATTTTTGGGACGAGATCTAATGAAACCGAGGTTTTCGGAAAATAAGAGCATAACAATCAAATTCAAACAGCGAGGTTTTAATATGCGATAATTATTTAATTTTATAGCACACTGCGAGGTCGCGTTTTGCTCTCATATTTTTACGCATTTAGAGTGAGTTAAATATCATAAATTTTTTATTGAGAAAAAGTTTCCAGTTTGGAGATTTTAATTGTCTATTAAATTAAACTGAACGTTTTATAATGCGCTAACGAAATATTCCGGCGAGAAAAATAGGAATTTAAATTTAAATGCGAATATCTAAAACTGCTATATGATTTATAATAAGATCAAATTAATGCAAAATCAAATTATAAGACATCTGGAAGTAACGTATTTGAGTCAAATAAGGTTCATCTAATTTATTTTATTTTTTGAATTCTATTTATTTGATATATTAAAATATTAAAATAAACTAAGTGAGAATAAAATTTTTTTCCACTCTCACACAAAAATAAAATTTTATATAGAACATTTGTGCATAAATAAAAAAAAAATTTTTTTTTTTTAAAGTCTGATATTAGACCACAGACTTATATGAATAGATTGCTGACTCAAGGTGATAGAAAGAGATAAATCTGATTCCGAGCTGTCCTTGTTTCAATTCCCATATGCGTATGTATGCGTTCTGTCGGTGAGTATCGCGTGAATTTATGTGAAAATACTACATTAGTCATAACAGAAATTATCACAAATATCAAATGTCATTTTATGGGTGGCCTTTCATTCTATTATATTAAACAAAAATATAAAAAATAATAATTTGTAGTGTGATAAACTGCAAAAGTTGATATAAAATAGAAAGTAATATGAATATAGGTCCTGTAAATAGGTCCTGAAATAAGTCCTGTAAATTATAATTTTGACTTACGCATGATTATCCATGTAATTTATACATGTGTGAGGGAACTGAAATATGGTGCTGCCCAACGCTATCTTCAGACATGGAGGCGAAGTTGGCAATCTATTTATAATAATAGAAGTCTGTATAATAGATCTTATTACATCAATATAAGATCCGGATCAAAATAATGTAAAAATAACAAAGAAACTAAACATTATCTATTTAAATCCGTTTCAAAATTAACTGTTAATAATAAAAAGGAAATCCTTTAGAATTTACTCTATTCTTAAACATCATAATTATCTTTAATTTAGTCTATAATTATTCTTTTGATCTTTAATAATTTGTAGCAATTTGAATACAATTTTAGCTTCTCAAAAGTTAGCAGTATTGGAAATCGTTATCCTTTGGCACAAGCACCCCACAAATAACAATATGTATAATAATCACATATGGGCCTTATTTAATAAGAGTCATTATTTCTAAGAAAGTATACTTATTTAAAAAATTCGAATTATTTGTTATTTTTTCATAGCTAGGAAATTAAAAATAATATTATAATATATTATAGTAAACTGAAATAGTGTTTACTTAGTAAATTTTGCAGTAATTGTTATAAAAATGGTTCATACATAACACTTCGTTAGAAGATTTTGTTGCATTAAACAAATGTGTTACTGTCGACTTTAATTCTCTGATCCCTTTATATCTACTTCCTACGACACATCTTTTTAAATATATACTCTCCGCGTAAAGCGCATTTTTAAGTCATAAATTTAAAAGTGAGCCTTCAGTACTGGGTCTTATTCGGTTCAGATACTTTAATCTATCTTGAAATAATCTATCTATTTTAAAAATTACACATTACATCTCTTTACTCTCGAGACGAGCAAATCAACTTCAGACACAATTGCTGTGTTGTAAGATAAACAGTCTAGTTATTGCAAGATAAATTGTTTCTTTGTAAGACTATCAGCGAGAAATCTGCTTTACTGCCGTCGTTCGTCACTGGGCGTTCATGGACTTTCGTGTATCTTCGCGAACATGATTAGCAAACTCGGTATACTAATTGATGATAAAACTCGCGCATTTTTATTTTGCCTCGAAGTTCAATCTTGACACATTTGCATATGTCATAGTCTCTACTATTAATTCATTCGATTATTGTCAATTTGATTGACGAAAAAATATCTTACTAATCCTGCGTAAAATTCAGAAAGGTCGGAAATAATAGAACAATTTTAATGCTTGAGTTATTAAATAAATTTATTCAGGATTCATAGAATTATCTACAATTTTACGTATCGCTTATTGAGCGATGGAATTAATCTCTTAATTATTTCCTTAATTGAATGCCACTTTCTACATTTTTTAAATTCTTTTTAACACTTCCGAGTCAATGCGTTTTTGCGATATAAGAAGTACGAATATCGGATCATTAAATACTTTATAATGCAAGCACGGACTATCTACCATTACTCTCGAGGTGAAACACAGTTTTCATTCTCGTCGTAAGTTCTGAAGTAATGGAAACTTTAATGGAATTCAGCACCCTGTGCGCCTTTGCCTTCACGATAAAGTGACAAACGTCCGCTAACTCTCGTCAAGATCGGCGGGTTGCATAAAAATAATTGAAAATTATCGTTGCATAACAGCAACGAAAAATTCAATATTCTTCTTTCAGTAATAACAAATTCTTGTCCGAAAAGACAAATCACTCTGTTCTGAATAATTTTGACATGAAGAATTACTCGATGTAATATTAACGACTATAAGATTATTCGATTTCGAGAAGTAAACGCTACGACAGATTGAAATTCCATTGAACAAAAAAATCAACTCTGAAACCATCCACATGTAATATATTTTCTATATATTTTTTATTGTATGTATATATATATATATATATATATATATATATATATTATTTTTTATATTTATATTCATGCGCGTTGCATTTCAAAAAATTTTTTATCTCCTTTTTTATGTACGTTATATCTGAAAAAATGTTTCCACATTTTATTTTCTGTAATTCCAACAATTCCGACATGAAAAACATGAAAAGACGCTCACCTCGCATCATGCGTTGAACATTAACGCGTCTTCCATCATTGCAGGATATTCTGTGCTTTTCTGCTTCTTTCTTTCTCAATCTTCAGATTCTTCTCGGTAACATCTCACGATTATCGCAAATCGGCTTTTTACGAGACGCGTTGAGCTTTTTCAAGCACAGCAGCGGACAGCAGGCTCTCTCGAATCCGCGAAGCGGCGTGCAAAAATCGTCGTCTTTATCTCTCAAGTGTTGAAGCGTTGCGTGCCAAGTGTCTCGGACAGAGGGATTTTGAGTGCAACGACGATGCACGCGTCGAGATAGTGGCATTTAAGAGCGTCGAATTATAAGTCGGGTTCTCGAAGCTCGTCGTCGACCGGATCGTCCTTAGCTGAAGATCATCCGGATCGCGATCCAGCGAGATGCAACAAATTCAGTGTGTGCGATATCAGGAAAGAAAGTATTTCTCCGCGGAATGGTTTTTCTCCGACCGGGATTAAATGTTTTTTTTTTTATCTTTTCACTTATTACTGCTACATTTAACGTTTTTCTTACTTGAAAATCCCCCCGGAAGCAGTGAAGAAGCGGTGCCTCGTTCTTTTCTCCCGCGAGTATTGTTATTACAAATTTCTCAAAAGAAGCAGAAATACTTTGGTCGAGAATCTCGGGAACACCGCTTGCGAAGGAACGGTTCACATGTACTTGAGGATAATACTATCTCGAGAAGTACCCTTGAAATTATCAACCGTTTTCAGGATCTTCCAGTTTCCACCTGTTTTTTCACGGAATTAAATAACGTCTAACACATAACTGGAAATTTTAATTTGAACGATACCAACCACATGAGACCGTTTTATATCTCCGCAGCATTTACCCTCTATTTTCCCCTTTTTATGTTCTTACGCACTTTAACCTTATTTAAAATTTATGTGATTTGCGATATCGGGATATCATGTTTTGAAACTTTTATTCAATTTGTATTGCCAGCTGCTGAAAAACATTCACACAGCGTTGCTTCTTATACATCCAGGATTCTACAATTTTACTCCAAGTTCTCTTCTATTATTTCATTATTTTTGTCCTATTTTTCTAGACTATATCGTGCGCAATTTGAAACTCGCGTGCAATTCGATGCAGCTACTCGACTCCGCTCCGACGTTCCCTTTGGCCCGATTTTGAATTTAATCGACGCGTGATCGATCTCGATTATCGGCGCTCGGTTCCCTTCCTCGCGAAGTGTTCTCGATGCTCGGCTCTTAATGCTCGCAATACGCGTTCCCTTAATGTCCCTAAAACGTGTAGTCACGGATGTGTGTGCCACGATTATCGTCCTAAGGGCGCGATGGCTGTCGATCTTAAAATCGAAATATCACATTACGGTCGACATCTTTCTCAGATTCCTTCCCACTTTCCTGCTCGATCCTTCTCTTTGACCGAAACCGACGTTATGATTAATCGAGGCTTCAAATGATTACTTTCGTACGAGTTTCCGCGTCCGATAGGAATCGAGCGATCATCTCCATTGGTCTCTCGCACAAGATCTTTCCTTCAAGAGGGCTCTTCCGAGAGTCGATCACTCGTCGGTTGCACTCTTATCTTCTTCTTCCTTCTCCTCCGTAGATTTCAGACTTCACTCTTTATCAGTGGGATGCATTTCGATCCGAGAGGAACGAATCACACTTTGTTCGATCGATGATCGTTCACGTTGCGCTTCTTCGAAGATCAGCACCAGCGGAATGGGACGTGATCACTCGACTCTCAGTCTTGAAACGACGGGGGTGAGCGATTTCGCAAAGCGTTCGTGTCAAGGGTTCGTCGACCGGTTTGATCGACCGGTCTTCCGGTGCATAACATACGCGATACGTCTCACACGGATGCCGCGCGCCAACTGAGGTTGACTGACGATGCCGCGCGCGCGGCTCCGTGTTTCACGCCGATTTCCGGCGTCACGTGACGCGGCTGCTCCGTCGACGTCGCGACGCGCCGCGCACAAGACAAGTTCTCCGTCGTCGCTCGCCGACCTCGAGGGGCCAGTCCTAATATATCGATCGATATATTTATTGTCGATGTTAAGTATTGACAGGCCTTCGACTGATGTCGGTAAACTGTTGAAGGCAGAATGAGTCCGCTGATCTCGGGGGGTGCGTCTGCCTGAAGTGAGTAGAAGCTTACCCCGACATCTTTCGAAATGGATCTTGCAAGAGAGAAATAAAAAGGTCTACATCCGTGCTTGCATCTAATATCTATCTTGATGAAAAGAAGAATGAGAAAATCTTTTTTTCCTTCATTTGTGTTTACGTTTAATTGTACGAATAACTAAATTTATATAGAAGTAGGTCAGAGACGGGATAACCACTAAGATTGAAGACGAATTCTAAGGAAAGCTGGATTTTATTTCATTCATAACTACCGCGTTATGCGTTTTTCAATAGCGCAATTTAAGCCCAAGTCTTATAAGAATCGAGTCCTGAATGGAGAAGAAATGTGATATTAAAAGAATTGTTGAAGCGCGCCGAGGCGATGCGAGAGAGAAAAAAAAGAGAGAGAGAAATAAGAATTATTATTCCGAGGAAATTATAATTTTGCAAGTTTCAGAAGAAGTATAATCATGTGAATTGGTTCAGTGCTCTTAAATCTAGACAAAAGAGATAAATCTATTTATATGCAGAATAGACAAAATGGTACAGTGAAGTGAGAAGTAAATAATAACAAATTCCATGAATATCTAAATTTAAAAATAATATATATGCATCGTTAGAAAATTTGTGTTAAATTTAACACAAATTTCATGTGTTTCAAATTTATGTGTTAGTTTAACACAAAATGAATATTTCAGAAGGTAACGTATATGTATTTTATTTAGAAAAATAAACATAAAAAAATGATACTGACGCGGTCTATAAACAAATCATGGAAACATTTTTTTTTTATTATAGTAAAATTAATATTTATGGCATATTAAATTAATACATTTTATTCATTGATTTTAGAATTTATATTTTAAAATACATTATTTTTATGTTATTTATTTATTTAAACTGTATTATGTTGACATTAAAAAATGTTGAATATCAATTTAACACAAATTATTTAAATAACGTAATCATATTATGTGAAATTAATACTCGAATATATTAAAAATGTAACACAAAATTTTAACAAAGACTTATAAATAGGTCGTTTCCAACGTAAATATAAAACGTTTGGTATTGTGTAATATAATTATATTTGGCATTGCATTCAGATCTAACGAGAAGTAATAGATGTAACACTGTGTAATACGATAACAATAGTTGGCGATAGGTGTATGCGATTCGTTAGGTATCGCCATTGTCTGCGGCCAACGGAATTGGTCAACGGAATTGGCTGATTGAGCTGACAGTTGGTGGATAATCGAAGTCGGGTTGGCAAATAACGGAAGCCTATCAATCGACCTCGATATAATATCCGATATATATCCGTATTAAATGCCAGCGACAGACGACATTGCGCGAGACCACAAAGTGGATCACAAAGACGCCACGGATATAGCGAATTAAGCGGAGCAAAAGTCGAGATAGTTGACTACGGGCTACGTTTTAATTAAAAAAGGGCAGCGGGTAAATACGGGTATAGCGGATAATGTACAAGGTGCTTCGCTAACTCTTTGTTAAAGATCCATTTTACCGACAATTTCAATATTGGGATTCGCTCTTTCTTTTAGCTTGATCCTGCTAAGAAATAAAAGAGGTACCTCTCGAGCTCTCTAAGCTATAGAAGTGTGACTATAAATTCTTAAATGCAACGAGATGCAACGAGAATTGTTTTGCGCGTTGCTATTCCGGGCGATCGTGCTTGCAGTTATAAAGTCAAATATATTTGTATTTCTGTTTGAAAGAGAAAAAGAGAGAGATTTTAAATTTTATTAAAATATATTATATTAATAAGTATAATCTTCCAATATATTACCTTTTAATAGATTTAATGTTTATTAAATCTTTACAATAATAAAATTATAAATAGTAATTATAAATATTATTTATATTTTTAAAATTAAGTAAATATGGCAATTTTTTTAATTATAATAAAATTAATTCTATAACATAACGAAATAAAATATCTTTATATAATTACGATAATTGTGATAACTAGGAACTCGAGAAAAGTTTTCTATTTTGAGAAAAAATTTATTTGAAGGTGGAGTCGATAAATAAAATTAAGGTTTCGAATTGTAGGACAGGTTTCGTGTGTGCGTACATAAATAAGAATTAGAAATAGAATTTATCATGCTTTATTTAAGCTTTTCATTACTGTAACAACTCTTAGGGCTCCCCTCCGAAGTGAAAAAATATATCACGCTTACAATATCGACGTAAAACTGCTTGACGAAGAATTATTGGTGTTACGTAGTTTACTTACGTCAACACGTAGATCATTACAGGTATAGTTTCTAAATCCGGAAATATGCGTGTGATAAACCGCATAATGGGATAATGGCTAGATTTATAACATTATAACAGTAATTACCACGAAGCAGACTTCCGCTTTTATCAACTTTCGCGTGAGTTTGACTAACTTTGCGCTTTTTGTTCACTTCGTTCAAGCTGTTTTTCTTGCTAGCTTCATGTCGGGTACTATGCAAAACAAAAAGAAAACGGAAGTGCTTTGAGTAAATTTTTGTTAATGAGTGAATTCCCAAAAGTTGTAGGATTGAGATATGAATAACGATGTATGAATTCCATAGAAAATTCAGGTTGATCGTGTGAGATGTGAGATTTGTAATCGGAATTCCGATGAATCGTTCAGATTTTGTAATGAGACACCGTACAATGTAGAACTGATTAAGTCCAATTTTCATCCCAAAGCGAATCCAGTAATCTCGTCGATATGTAAAACGCATTCTGGTGTAATTGCCGTCGTGATGGACCAACCGTAATCCTTGTACGATATAGTATCTATTAATTACTTCCATCAACAATTTCATGCACGATCGCATTGATCCTCTCACGCAAAAATTAAATCCGATAATAAAATTAACACGGCGTTAACTGGCAAATTTTAAAGAGCTTAGCTAATTTGTTACGCAATAAAAAAGCAAAGCATTTAATTATATGTATATATATATATATATATATATATATATATATATATATATATAATATTACTTATATAATAAACATTTAGTTACTACAATTATAATTATTTTATTATAATATATATATAATAAATATAATATTTTATGTACTCTATTAGGAGAGATCGGAACCCCTTGACAGTTTTGACAATTTCGTCAGACTTTAAACAATTAATTATTATTCATATAGATTTTAAACTAAATAATTGGGTACAATGCAGCATGCTCATATTTACAATAGAAAATCTATATAGAGTGTACAGAACTATTTTTGTCATAAAAATATAGAGAAAGGTTCTCTCTATCATATTATAATTAATTATGGTTAAAAATAATTATGATTAATATGATAGAACCTTTCTCTATATTTTTATGCTAGGAATGGTTCTATATAGTTTTTTGTTGTAAATGCGAATATACTGCATTGTAGCCAATTATTGATAGATTTAGCCAATTTGTTGATAGATGGGTAAGTTGATATCTATCGCGGTGTAAATTGCCTCTATAATCAACTTTATATTAAATTAATAAAAACATAATACATTAAATAAAAAAACAGATAACAGATATGTATTAATTTTTATTAAAGATTGTATTTTTTATATAATTATTTTGTAATAATCAAATAGCAAAATGTTATTATAGGAAAACAAATTAAATTATTTTAGTTTTAGCTTATTTTAATATGAAAATATTAAATACAAAGTGTTGTGTCAGAGTTAAGTCGTTACTAAATGTTCACACACATAATACAGCAAGTCAAACAAACCTTTTCTTAATGAGCCAAAGTACTCCATCTCTACGTACATATCTCATTTTAATTATTTTATTATCACAAATTATTTCTTAAAATAACATGTTGTATTGTAATAGATGCTTTTCTTTTAATTAATAATATATCACTTAATTTACTTTCTTAAGCCGAAGAACATTAATAAGAAAATATGAAATGCTGAAAAATTTAGCCTTATAACTAGCCTTCTCCTGAATAAGATTTTTCTCTTTTCTTCTTATAATACTTGTTTAATTTAAATGACGACAAAAATATCTATGTTATAAGAGAAATATTTGGGATAACTTCTATTGTTTTTTTCGTAATAAATACATTTGTAATAAATACATAAACGTAATGCAATGTCAACAAGCCCCAGTCTTCTCTATATGTGTTACTTTATTTGTTACGTTTTCACTCTCTAGATAGAGTTAAACATAAATAATATCTCGTATTCAAAAATACAAACAATAACTTATAATTAGACATAGAAATGGAAACTAAAACAAAAAACACATATTTTGTATAACACTTCTAGGGAAAGTGAATTTTTGGAAGTGAGGTTTGAAGATTGTTCCCCACATACTATAAATCGAAATAAACATAAATTATATTATAGAATTGTATAATACACTCGCTCATTTACTAATTGCATATGAAATCGCTTATTTGATTTCTTTTGAAGAATTCTGTACGGAAAGAACAATTTTGCTAAAATATCTAAAAATTTAACTATATAGATACTGATCTAAAAATAATTTTATTGGACTATTATAAAATAATTTTGTAAGAGTCTCAATCATGATGAGAAATACTGCAAAATATTTTGTTATTCCAGCAGTTTTGGCGTTTTACATAATTATTTTGACTAATATAATAAAAAATAAACGCAAATTGTATTACAGAGTTGTAACACACACTTATTTACTCACTGTATATGAAATGGCTTATTTAATTTCTTTTGAAGATTTCTTACA